ATGTTATTAAGTCCTCTAATCTTGCCATTATCCTCTCTTCCATTTTTTCCAATGTACAAAATTCTTTATGCAATGTTCTTTCTTTAACCGGTGACCCGCCTATTTTTTGCTTTTGCTAAATACTCTATAGCCTTCTTTAGTGAGTTCTAATTGGTCCTTTTTTTCTCTCTTTTTCTTGATATAATCAGTTATACTACCGGAACTAATTGTACGTTCGCGTTTTAGCTGAATCGCTGTTGTCGGTCTTCCTCTCATTTCCTCTTCCTCTTCGTTTCAGTCGTGATTTGGTTAAATTCTTTATCTCCTGTTACAATGCTTTTATGCAGTTGTTAACAATTTCGTCACTTCGGACGTCGACTTCCGTTTTGGTCTCGCCTGATCGTGTGCTGCATCAGCTCACTACGTGATCAATCTTCATTTTTAATATCAAATTTTTGTACCTTTCCCCTTCAATACTATCTCTTTCCTGTTTTTCCCCTTAATTTTCTATATTTCACTGTATTGCTTATCACTTTCTGACTCTTCCGATACCTTTTTTATCCTTTTTGCTTCAGTTTTTCCTGACTTCATCTTGCTACTTCAGGGAGCTTCACCTGAAAATTGTCCATCCTTTACTGCGTCTCCATTCAAAGTCCTTTAAATTTAGAATAAATTGTGGATAAGGAAAAAAGTATGGCTCAAAGGGTTAATGATAGAAGAAAACATACATGAGTATTCTACCGCCGTTACTGTGGCCTTAAAAAGGGCTTTTTGATATAGCACTAATAATTTGTTTAAAATTCATTTTGATCAATCAGTTAATTAACACGTTGAGTGCGACGCCGATTTCGCTAGACTTTCCGCTCAGCCTGCAGCGCTCGGCATCAACACGCAACGCGGAGGATCAACACTTCACTCGACCGAAAAATAGAAACAGAAGATCACTTTGTTTCACTGTTTCGTTTGAGGTTTTGGCTGTGAGAATGAAGCATTCAATGCCCATGTATACAATTTATAAACATAAGATAATGGGGCGGAGAATGCCAAAATGGCAAAAGATCGAACACCAAAAGATGATCAGTCGGAAGAAGCCACGGGAGTATAAAAGTTCAGTGCAGCAGAGAGAATTCAGTTTTTTGATTTTGAAAAAGTTTTGTTACCCATCAACTAAAAATGTTGAGAGGACAAAGCGATAGTGACACATCAAGTGAGATATTAAACTTCAGTAAATTTATACTTAAATTTTTTAATTGTCAGTAATAAATTAACCCTTGGCAATGCCGGTCTCATGCACCGATGTCGATCAAACGAGAATTTCGCGGTCAGTCTCTAGAATCCACGCCGCCCAAACGGAAAGTCGATTGCCGGTCCCCAGGGACCGGCACCGGCTGAATGGAAAGTCTACTGCCGGTCCCTAGGGACCGGCGTAGCGCTCAACGTGTTAAGACGATTTTGAGTTGAATTGATGAAATTACTTTAAAATGGAGAGGCTGGCGATAGGTGATCGATGTCGCTAATGCTACAGAAATAATATCAAGAAGGTGGTATTAAAGCTTTAGAAGATCATTGATATAATAATAAAAAATCAAGTTTAACAATTGCGGAAGAGGATGTTGAAATTGGTCGTCAGATGGATATGGAGCCATTTTCGCCTACGACGACAATTCTCAATACACTAAATCTGTATAATAGTCCTTCAGAACAAAGTCGATTACACCAGAATGGCAGGCATTATTATCATCCAGGTCAAAAGACAGATTTAAAGCAAAATCATGGCAATGATTGTGTTCGGTATGTTTTTTAAGAATAAGCAACATTGCAGGAAGATTTGGAGATTACAATTTGGACGGACGAGAAGGTGTTTTGTTCTGCAGCCATCACTGTCTTCACGTTTGAAGATATCGAAGACTCGATCCTAAATATTTAATATCTTATAATTGAACTGGGCGTATCGAATGTATAATATTGGGGTGGATAAGTGCAGTTAGATCTGGTGAACTTTTGGAGGTATCGTATTATATCAAGTATCAAGGAGATATTATATCAAGATCTTAGAAAACGTTCTCCTTCCAAGTATACATGCAATTTACCTAGTAAGACATGAGACTCATCAGATTAGTTCAGGATAATTACTGTATTGACAATTCGCGAGAAACATTGCAGTGGTTTGCCTCATAATTCAAAAGTTTTAATCTTTGATTAGCTGGTGAAGTCAGCCGACTCAACCCTTTGAAACATCGTGGTTCCATTTTCAACCCACCTTTTTTCCAATCGTTTTTAGCTTCTGAAAATTATTCTTCGACTACAGAGAATGCGAATTTTGGTCTCACAAGGCCTCCAAGACATCAAGTCCAGAGAAAATTGCAACCAGTTTTTATTGTTGATTAGCAAATTGCCCTCGCTTCGCTCAGGCAAAATTAAACGGAATTCTTTAGAATTTTCTAGAACTTTATATAATGTTCTGAAACATTATATGAAATTCCTTCCAATTCTTTGGAGTTTTCTAGAACTTTCTAGAACATTTTATGGATTTCTATTGAATTTTCCAGAGCTTTCTACATTTTTTTGGAGCATTCTTTGGAATTGTATCGAATTTTCTGGAACTTTCTAGACAGCGAAAAAATGAAACAAATGACAGGCGAGAAGTACGTTTAGCTTCACAACGGGAGAGACGCTGTATGAAATGTTACAAAAAAAAAAAGTAGAGCTAGAACTTGTCATGCCCTCGTCGTTAGCTCTGGATAGTGCCAAAAATGAATGAATTTTTAAATCATCAAATTTCAATTTCACACCCGTAATCCGTGAACCCGAAAACCACCCATTTTCACCAATATTTATCGCGGTTTCTCATTTCTGCGGCCGTCATTTTGAATGTTGAAAGTCTAATAGCGAATTCGATATCAGCGACCCCAAAAAACCCGTGTATACCAAATTTCATAAAAATCCAATTATTAGAAAAGTATATGCTTCAAAGGCTTAAATTTCATTGAAAATGTATGGGGCAAGAACGATAAATTTTTGGATTCCTACTCGTGAAAGAACGAGAGAAATTTTGGTTGCATATGTGAGGATTATGCATAAAGACTTCAAGGCGACGGTCCATTTTTCAATAACTTGATTAATTCCATTCAACATCGTCTCAATCAAGTAAAGGATTTTGGATAGATTATTGATGATATGACATCAAAGGCCCTTTTCAGGGCTACCATAATCTCTACGGCGGTGGAATACTGATGAAGACTTGGAGAGAAGGATTTTTAATAGTAGAGGGACATTTAATTTTCGAGTATTGAGTTTCATTAAACAATTTTTTTTTCACGTCAATGTAACCACAAATTAAATTATTAATATTTTTGTATATTATTAGGAAGTTGAATGAGTTTTCGCTGTTTTTTCGTGAAAATTAATGTTTTTTTTTTTAATTAGTAAAAAAACATGTCAGATAAAAGTATTATCCATCGATATGAATTCCACGTCGGAAAAATGACATGTCTTTTGAGGCTATCCAAGAGTCAACGCATTGTTTAGCATCTTCATAAGAATGGAAGTGCTGCTCAGCTAGGCCATACGTGATCGATCGGAACAAGTGATAATCGGTAGAGGCAATGTCTGGCGAATACGACGGGTGGAGTAGGACTTCCCATTTAAGCATTTTCAAGTAGGTTTTCACCAGTTTTGCAACATGTGGCCGATCGTTGTCATGCTCAAAATCACTTTGCCGGGTTTCTGCTCGTATAGCGGCCGTTTTTCTTTCAATGCTCGGCTCAAACGCATCAATTGTAGTCGATAGCGATCTCCTGTGATGGTTTCGATCGGTTTGAGCAGCACATAATAAACTACACTTAACTGATCCCACAAAATGCAGAGCAGAATCTTGGAACTATGGATATTCGGCTTTGCCAACCATGTTGATGCATGGCCGGGCTTACTCCACGATTCTGCTTTTGAAGCTATTTACACATGAAAAGACGTCATTCGACGTTTCTCGGCATCAACTCGTACAGCACCCAATGTCCTTGCTTTTGATTCATTCCTCGTGTTTTCAAACATTTCGAAACTGTTGTGTGATCAACTTCTAATGATTTTGCAAGTTTAATTAGCGTCTGATGTAAGTCTTCATCAAGTAATACCTCCAATTCTTCGTCTTCAAACTTTTTCGGCGTGCCAGAGCGTTCTTTATCTTCAACATCAAAATCATTATTATTGAAACGTCTAAACCAATCTCTGCATACTTTTTCCGACAGAGCATGGTCGCCGTAAGTCTCAACAAGAATTCTGTATGCTTCAGTTGCAGATTTTTTTTTTTAATAAAGTAGTACAGTAAAATTCTTCGCAAGTAGTTTTTGTTTGGCGCGAAATTCGACATGTTTAACACTATGAAAAAAAAAATTTGTTATACTTCGGTGAAATGACATATTGAATTTTAAGCTTGCTTATAGTATTTCTTTATCGATGCGTTACGATCTTAAACTACATGCACGCAGTTCTGGTACCGCCGTCTGTTGGAACACAGCGACAACTTACTCAACATCCCAATGTTATATATATATTCATGTTATTATAATATCCATTAATATTTTTCACGTCAATGTGGCTATAAACTAATAATGTTTTATATATTTTTGTAGGAATTTTTACTGTAAAGTCGAATGGCGTGGGTTGTGTTTTAAAACAATGTTATGCTTTTTAGTTTTTCTCCTCTCTTTCCTACTTGTCATTGCCAACCATAATTTTCGTATCATATTTTATCATATTTTAATAAGAATAAAAAACCGCGATTGCCAGCTTGTCCCGTTTTTGCTTGGGTATTAATGGGTCAAGGGGTTAACAATATTAATTTGGACACTGAATTTAAAATATGAATGCATTTACTCCTAAAACATCTGTTGTAAAAATGTTTATATCTGTTTTTGCTCAGGTGCCCCGTGAAATGAAAGTATTTACCGTTCTTATTTTTAGGATTTTAAAAATGACAATTTGTTTTTTTACTATGTATATTTTTGTATTCATTTTTATATTAGAGACGAACTGAGAGAACATTTGAAGTCACGTCCAAAATCAACACCCATAACGGATGTAGCTGAGGCGAATAATGAATCTATGAACGAAAATAGTTCATCGACAACGTCCGGTTCAAATTCATCTTCATCCAGTTCAGTCTCTTCAACTGATAGTTCAGGTATGTATGCATTGCGATTAATGAGTTTCTAAATTACTACACAAGCTCGCTAATTAGACACCATGAACACCAGTCTACCGTCTAATTACTAAATCCATCTAACTATCGGATGTGCATAGTAAAAAGAACTATTTTGGATTCAATAAACATTTAATAGTTTAATTAGTAACATAATGTTAGAAATATTATTATAAAATATACATTGTAACGTAGCATTTCGATGCAAGTCAAAAAGTAGGTGAATTCAACTACGTCGTAGGGCTTCATGGGTTACGGAGCGTTTAGCATGGCGTTGGACTGACATTATTTTAAGAATTTGTATTTATTTTCCTGTGGGAAATGTTTCGTTTGTTTTTGAGTTCATTAAGCGGATCCGAGAGGATTAGACACAATTTTTATTGAGATGGGACCTGAGAGAGCCAACTACGGGACTGGCAAAGCGCTGTCGAGGAGAGAGCATACAGGGGTTGCAGAAGCGGCATGAAGTCGAATATCGAGAGAATAGAAATGGATGTGTTTTCAGCTTCTCGGAAACAGCACTGTACTGAACCTAACGTAACAAGATGCCAGGATCTGTTTCATCTGGATCGTTAAAACAATTAAAGATCGCGAGCTCGCTAGCGGAGCCGATGTAACAGCGCACCTGATTGGACCACGGAGTGGTATTACAGCGCGCCCTCGGGAAGTATCCTGTTTTAGGAAATTTGTAGCATCTCATGGCGTGGCCTAGCTGAGGGATAGACGCGTCATCGTTTAGTGTACCGATTTTCGCATATTTATCGTATCGTGATCCATTGGAGGGACCTATAACCCAGGAGAGTGTTGTTCCTGTGAATAGTAGGAGCTACTGAACAACAAGGAGTGACGCTCCAAGGGCATTCTGGCTATCTTTCAACTCACAAGATCAACTAATGTTTTCTGTTCGACGTACTCTTACGCTTTCTTGATCGCTACGGTCCCGAGGATAGCTAATCCGGTGACAAACAGAAGATCGGTCTCTCATTTCCTTCTTTCTCTTCTTCTGGTTTTACGTCTCATCGTTCTGTCCAGGCCTCGCGGAATTGTGTCCTTAACACACGGCTGTGTGAGTCATTATCGTATCGTTTATTATCATATCGTTAGTTGTGTTGTTTCAGCTGAAACATTATTTGATAATATCATTCGGATATTATCCAAGTGCGTTCTGTACCATCTCAAACTGATTTTGATATCTATCACTTATATTCAGTAGTATTGTTCTTAGTTTTTCTGTTTAAACTAAATCGGGTCCGTCTATGGATTTTGGTTCCGATATTTCTATGTTGTATAAAATAATTTCAATAGTTTTTAGAGTGAATCTCCCCAGTTTGCAGATTTTGATCATTGTTCCCAGACCCAAGACTCCATCGCATAAGGGCTGGTCAGGATGTTCTGTCAGTGGTATAATTCTGGTAATACCGGGTGCCAAGAATTGAGTATTTTATTAATGAGTTCTCGCGATGCCATTTATTTGTGCGACACTGTAAAAAGTGGCGTTACAACATATATAATGCAGTTTTAATCAGAATTTATCAATTGTAGCTTGTTTTTTTTTCGCATTGTATATCTTGTAAATAATATGTTATCTTAATTTGCGCAATGAAGATAGGGAGTTAACAGTTTTATTATTCTCTTTGACCCATTGGATGTCAGTGTCGATGACATTAAATGTATCTACGGATTTGACGGCGTGTGCCACAAATTAGGCACATCGTTTTCTCAAACACATATTCTGTCGGCTTCGTTTCCATTGTGATTTCATCATCAGTCTTCTCTTCATTAAATTCATTATTTTCCGTAAACGATCTCCTAATGTCATCGTGGGTCGATTCAGAGTTCTTACCACAGTCGGCTGTATGGATTCTGATAAAGGCAAATTATCATTTGGTTCCCAATCGTCTTTACCTGCATTTGCATTTGATGGTCACAACTTTTTTTCATGATGATTAAATAACTTTCTGAGGTACATTGTTCAGAGCTTTGGCTACTGTAAATATCATGTCTTTTATATTTAATTCCTTCATTATCTTTTAAAATATCACCTTCTCGAGTTACTACATTAAGCAATATCTTCTTTTTGTAAATCGTTTTCACGATTTGGATTACGTTTTGATCCATAGTTTATAGTAAATAAATGCAATTTGGTGGCATAAATATAGTCTTGATGCAGTCACCATGCGAACAAACTACAGGTTGAAAACATGGAGTGTGACTGAAGGTTCTCATCCGGACGTAATACTAACTTAGATCAATATCTCGGAAAAATCTTAAACTATATTTAAGGGCCTAAACACTAACCTCCAACTACTACCTCCTAAGGAGATACCAACAGGCACGAATCTTCGGGGTAGTTTACTCGACACTACTGAAAATCTATATTCTAAAGCCCGTATTCAGAACTCGCTCTTGAGGTCACTAACAGAATCACTATTAGTTAAACGTGACTGCGCCGAGTTGTTAGTGACCGTATTCAGAACTCGCTTTTAAGTCGCTTTTAATTAAACATGCGCTAACAGGGAGCAGCGTGTTGTAACATGTACTTTCAACCGCGTTCGGAGTCATTCGGGAAGACTCGGGCATATTCGATTATGTCCGGGAGTATTCCGTGGCATTCAGAAAGCGCGAACTTCATATTTGGTGGAAACTGCAGCCATATTTGAAATTCGAAATTCAAGAATTTCCTTTCTTGAAGTCAAGCTATTAGTATTCAATTAATACGTTAAAACTATTATAAGACAGGCATGACATGAAAAAAAATAAATAAATGGTTGTAGATCATCATGGAACAAAAGAAGAATTTCACCCTCGAAGAAAAAGCATTAGTCGTACAATTTGTAAGCGACACTGGTGATATACACTAGAGAATTCGTTTTTATGGTCACTCTTAAGGTCATTAACAGCTAATAGCGCGCTATTAGCGAAAAAGCCTATTCAGAATCGCTTTTAAGCATTTAATAGCGCGCTATTAGGCGTTATCTTGGTACTAACAGAGATCTGTTCGGAGATGTGGGCAGGGGCATGTTTAAAGCGACAGGTCGCTCAAATATGGCAGACCAGATGGAGGCTATTGCCGAAATAGATGAAGTCCGTGAAGTTAATGAAATGAGAGTAAGAAATCCGCAAGTTTTCCGAGAGAGACGTGATCCTTTTCGTACGTGACGTCATCTTTAGGCATTTCGGCCGTGTTCAATGCTCAGAGGCTATCAGATTTAAGGGTATCTTCATGCTCCACAAAATTTTCCAGGCAAATTTCATTGATTTTGAAATCGAGCTCAGAAGGTGTTGAGAGGGCAAGACCTCCCCCTGTACCACTCGCACGCTTGCGATAGCAAGAAATAGTCTTCTTTGCTGCGAGTTTCCACCGCTGCTATGCATCTCTTATATCTTTCCATTCCCTCTTAATTCCAGTCGCTGCTATTTTCTCTATTAGTTTTATTCATTTGTCTCTTCTACTCTTTTGCAATTAAGCATTATTTGCTTTGTTTTTTAGTATATCACGATTGTCTCTTACAAATTGTACGACTAATGCTTTTTCTTCGAGGGTGAAATTCTCCTTTCGTTTCATGATGATCTACAACCATTTACTTTTTTTTTTCATTTTCGTGTCATGCCTGTCTTATAATAGTTTTAACGTATTAATTGAATATTATTAAGGTTCTTGATGTTATCGACCCGCAGGTTGCCTCATAAACACCAACGGTCATCGGACCCTTAGGGCGTGCAACACCGCTGGTATCGGGATCGGGCGTGGGGATAACGCTTCGGGTTTTAAGGGATCCGAGACGTTAGACCTTCGGGTCTTAGACCTCTTGTTTTAAGACGAGAGTGGTCGCTCCGGAATTTCGGGGCCTTACGACCAGGGCGGCCCCCAGAAGAGGATGATATCACTAGGCTCACTACGGTGAGAGGCTGATGTCATAGTGTGGTGCGGGAATTACAAAATCCAGAATGGTGGATTCAATATGGCGGGCCGAATTACGAAAAGTCAGTCGATTTGAATTAACTTGGTACTTAGTAGGTTTTCAAGGTCACTGATTACGAGCTTGAACTCAAAATTGGGAAATTGGTAATGAAAAACAAAAAAACCCTGTAGATGAGCTGTCACGTAAAATATGTAATTATTTGTTTCTACCAGTTTTGGCACAAAACGTTGATTTCGCGTCGATCAATTGAGTATGATTAGCACTATTCATGAACGAGGTAATACCATATGAATGAAATCTATTCTTTCGTTGCAGATACAGGCGGAGTTTAATAAAGGGAGAAGAAGGTGTTGAAAGAGAAAAGGAAAGTGCTGGTGGCGAAAAAAATAAATAAAAAGGAAAGCAAGGTGGTAGTGAGGCGAATAAGAGTCGAAGCCGTGGAGGAGAAAAAGGAAGAGGGAGAAGGAATAGAGAAGGGACATCGTCGGGAGAGACTATCAACAATTGCTATTATTCTTGAATAAAAAAAGAAAAAAAGCTACTTGTGTTTTTATTTATAAGATTTCTTATCCTCTTGTAGAAATGGACCTTAGACATTAGTACATTGCCTGCATTATGGAGACCAGTAGATCCCGAATTTCCTTTCTTTTACTACTTGCGCTCTAGATACCGAATTTAAAAAATTCAGATGTTTGCAAATTTTAAACTATAAGTAAAATTTGTGATGATTCGATTGTTTATTAGATACCGCTCCTTAGAAACAGTATTGTCGTATTTCGACAAGGCTGTTTTTTCGAAGACTGTAATTTGGAAAATCCGTTAGTAATCCAGTATTTCGGGAAGTGTTTTTGTATCACTATATCATACAGCTCGAAATCATAATGGCCTTCTTATCGTACATGGTTGAATATATATTTCGATATCACATAATTCAGGGTAAGTAAACAAACAAGAAATCCCATTTAAAAATATTTTGCCAGTATAGAAATCTCGGAAAATATGATCTTTAGATAGTAGTCGCCGCCATAGCTTAATTTGTTATCTCAATTAGAATAACTTTCTACCGCAATATTTTAAATGAATATTTTCAGGTGGCACAGTTAACCGTCCGGTCAATAACCAGGTACCCGGGTATCCATTTCAGTTTGCAATGTAGAATTTCTTAACTTCCCCTGAAAAATTTTTTTGAACGCTCGGATCCCCAGAGTTGAAGTAGTTTGACGTCAGTTTTTCGTCAAAATTTTTTTAATTCATTCATTTAATAAAAGTTATTAACTATCAAAGTCAATATCTCCTCCGTTCAATGACCGGGCACCCGGGTACTCACTTAGGTCATTATGTATGAAAGCCGGGGGTATACACACTAGAAAGACCATTTATTAAAGTATTTATGTAACCTAACTTTTTAATAAATAATCAACAATATAGTTTGTAACTTCCTTGATTTAAAAAATTTTGATTATAAACAGTAGTAAAGGTAGTAGGCAAAAAAATATCATTAAGTTTTTTTATTTTTGTTATTTTTCCTTTTATTTATAATAATACAGTGGCATGTCGAAAAACAGGTAAATTTAATTATTTTGCACACTCTTGACTAGAATGTTCATCACAAATAGGTAACTCACATACAGAGCATGATTCCCGAGTTTTGCGAAGTTTTTTGAATTCGTTCTGAAGACAAGCATAGCATACACCAGTAATCTTTTTTCTCCCGGTTGAATCGAGCTGTGCCTGAGGTGTTGAAGATCCAGATGCTGTTGGCTGCACATAGCTCTACCAAAAAAACTTTCAATCGCACTTTCGTTGTGAAATGCCTCATGATTTGAGGATTATGCGAACGACCTTCGATGAATGGAGTACACAGATCTCTGCCTAGTTGCCGATAAAATAATCGTCATTCATACAATTTTTTCGGAAGCACTTTATTGTTCTCATAATAAAGAATATATGCAGCAAGGCAGGCAACATCGAGAATATTGTAGAAAAATGCTACCTCACCTGCTAGGTCACCTTCGAGTTGATCTTTTTGTAGTATATCTTCCAAGCATTTTATCCATCGTGTCCACTCCAGCTTTTGAAAAGTTATAAAATTCAATAATTACGGCTTTTTTCTTTGCACCATCACCAATTTTTGCTTCCTGATGCATTGATGATAGCATAATCGCTGTCTTTTTTTCTTTGGCACATAACTCCACATAGTTATATTTTCATGAAAGCCAAATACAGTAGATAATTCTTCTCGTGTTTTCAATGCAGCCATCACTGGTGGAATGTACGTTTTATTTTTTTTCAAAGTGCCAACAATTGTTAAATCCCAGGATAGTAAAAATTTTGCGAATGGCAGAGTAGTGAAGTAATTATCCATTGTAATGCCACCAAGTCTTTGACAACTCTCTCACGAACGTTTTTCTCACGACCGGCACTGGACTGTCCAGTGTAAAGCTGTCCACTAAGTGGATACGAATTTTCAGCATCACATATCCACCTTGATTTCATACTTGGCTGGCTTTGATGGAATATACTGAGTGAATTTAGTTCGACTTCGGTATGGGTAAAGTTGCTCGTCGATTGTCAGGTGCTCTGTTGGCTTATCATTTTTTGCCAAATTACTATTCAGCATTGTCCAAATGTCTCGTATTGGAGCAGCTTTACCAGGTACCTGACGATTGTTGGGTTTCGCTATTGTTATTTAAAATTCCACGAAGTTAACTGGAACCGCTTAGCCAATTGGCGCGCAATAGGTGGGTACCCGGTCATTGAACGAACGGTGAAAGTTTGGTTATTGACCGGACGGTTAAATGGAATATAGCAAAATAATAATATTAGGCCGTTCTGAAAATATTTAAACTGGATGCACGTATATGTACTGTGATGTATTTCTTCTCATCAACAAAACGTAACCCAACAGAATCGGAACTCGGGAGCGTAAGTGGTCTCAGCAAACTTGAAAATGTTGGGCGTCAGGTACCCACGAAGGAGTACCACGAGCTCGAAGCTCGTTGCCGTATAGTCAGAATCGCGAAGGATAATTAGTTCGGGGTAATCGACTGCCATCAGGCAAACTAAACCTAATTTTGCCACCAGGCGAACTAAATCTAAGGACCATACGGCCACGCAAATCAGATAGGGGCACCACGGCCAAGAAAAAGTACTAAATGTAACTAACCTAAGGTTACCCGGAACTCGAAAGAATCGTAAGAAATCAGACCACTCTACATCCCACAGTACGCCACTTCAGAGGCTAGCTAGTCGGAAGCGTCGCGGCGTTCAAGAGGTACGGAAGGAGGAAATCAAGCCAAGGACTTATGGGAAAGCGATAAGAAACATTACAATAAAATAATCCAAATTAATTAATTAACGCACCGGAGCTGTATTAAACAAAACAAAATTTCAAATAATGGATAACTCAATAGGAAGATTACAAAACCATCAGACATTACCGAAGATGCGAGCGAAAGCCAAGCATAGTTTACAAAAGTTTTAAAAGTAATTTACAATAATCGGTATAAAAGAAAGAAGCTATACGATGCAAATGAAATTAGTTAACTTAATATTTAATATAGGGAACTATAGACGGGTCCTATTTATCGGAAAGTCGCGGCAGCGAAAGGAGTTGAACATTAGCGTTCATGCGAATAAGATGCGGGCTCGATATTTCTTAAGAAGAACATCAGCGGAAAATAATACAGTCGGAATAATCTCATTAACTAGAATAAACTAACTAACCGATATAATTAACAAAATCGTAATAAACTAACAAACTCGCGATAAAAGAACAAAAGTCGGAACGCAAGGAACGGCAACGGAACGAATACACGGTTCCAATTCTCGCACGCGCGAAATTATAACCGCGATCGACAGCGGTAATATGATAGAGTCACTTGAACGAAATTATAATTTGGCGGGAACCCGAGGAAGTGATAATAAGCGTGGATTCTTCCACACAAGTTCAAAATCGAAATTTATACAACGCAAGGCACACGATGCGAATACAGAAAATTCAGCACTAGAAAAGATTACAATAAATTAGAACAAAATATGGCACATAAAATATCACAATTCAGAGAATAAAATATTATAACGAGCAGTTATTTATCGTTGCAAGTATACGACGTTCTCGGAACGGGTAGTAAATCTTGAAGATCGGCAGAAGGCATGGCGTCGAGGAACGTTAACAAAAAGGTCGCCTAGGAAGGCGACTAGAACGCGACATGTCAGAGGGACGTTCGCGATACGCAAAAGGCACAGCTATTCTACCAGCAATATAAGTAAGAATAAGATGATTTTGGGCAACAATAATAAAATATGCCACACAGTAAATGATTCACAAAAATAAGAACGGAAGATAGTAGTATAGCTGGGCCGGTTCTGGATACAGATTCCTGCACCGACATATACCGACACTAGAAAACTTTCGAAGGTTGGTGTCCGTGCTAAACGTGTGCGCCCACAATTTTCGTAAGTGACGTCATCAAGACCCCTCAATTCTAAGAATTTTCGCTCGATTCCGGGAATTTTGTGTCACATTCCGGGAATTTTGCGCTCGATTCCAGAAATTACATACGATCGAGAACCTTCTAGAAGCTTCGACGGTTCGTGTCCGTGCTAAGTCGCGGAGGATCGCTCCCAGAGCCGACGGTTCTCTCGCGCGACGTTTCGATGCAGCCCCTTACCCCCCACCCCGTAGACGCTTCAAGAAGCTTCGTTGAATCCCCTTCCCCCCTGCTCGACCCGTGTAAATTTCGCATACCGTTCCTGTTGTGTTTCTCTAACTTATCTGGTTAGGACTCGCATTTCTTGATTAAAGCCTTAGCAACATCCTTCGAGGGTTCAATGAACTTATTGCCAGTAAACAAAGAACGATATACATATATCCTTTACGAAAAGCGTTAAAGATACAATCGTAAATTTCAGATTTATCGATTCATTTAGGTTTATGCCAAGCAGTATTGACAAACTAGCCTCTTATCTGAACAATAGTGAAAAATTATTCATACGTTAGCATTGCAACAGTGAAGAAGAGTTTAACTTATTAACGAGAAAAGGTGTTTTTCCTTAAGATTACGTGGATAGTTGGATAAAACTCGATGATGAGCAATTACCACCTAAAGATAAATTGTATTCGGAATTAAATAATGAAGAAATTTCAGACTCATATTATATACTGTGACGTTATTTTTGGACGTCACAAAGGTCCCGTATTGGTTACTTCCGTTTTTCAATTTCGGGACGCATTTACGTCCCTTTTTCCAATCAAATATTACGCAACCGGCCAGGAGCTCCAGGGTCATAGGCATTAGGGAACATTAAGTTAATATTTTCGTATACAAATATTTCATACGTCACGACCACCTCACCGGAACCGAGCCATCCGGACAGCTGGAAGCTCACGGAGGAGGATAAGCAGATTTTACGCCGAGGAACGTGGAAAGCTGCCGTGTCGACCTGACGACTCCACCCTATAAGGGACCCTACCCGACAAAGAAGACGGAGGGTCAACCAAAAGGACAGCGCCATGGACTCCACCCTACCTATCATTTTATATCGTCAATACCGATAGTCCCTAGTAATGGGACTAGTAACGAAGACGAGGAGGTCTCGAGTTCCGCAAGACTCCTCGTGCTGCAGGTCAACGGGCCCCTGCGTGGAGGCACCGTAACTGGCTTGCCATGGGAGGCAGAAACGACCAGACCTACCGAAGTCATCAGGATCTCAGCCATTATCGCTTATTTTTGGACGTCACAAAGGTCCCGTATTGGTTACTTCCGTTTTTCAATTTCGGGACGCATTTACGTCCCTTTTTCCAATCAAATATTACGCAACCGGCCAGGAGCTCCAGGGTCATAGGCATTAGGGAACATTAAGTTAATATTTTCGTATACAAATATTTCATACGTCACGACCACCTCACCGGAACCGAGCCATCCGGACAGCTGGAAGCTCACGGAGGAGGATAAGCAGATTTTACGCCGAGGAACGTGGAAAGCTGCCGTGTCGACCTGACGACTCCACCCTATAAGGGACCCTACCCGACAAAGAAGACGGAGGGTCAACCAAAAGGACAGCGCCATGGACTCCACCCTACCTATCATTTTATATCGTCAATACCGATAGTCCCTAGTAATGGGACTAGTAACGAAGACGAGGAGGTCTCGAGTTCCGCAAGACTCCTCGTGCTGCAGGTCAACGGGCCCCTGCGTGGAGGCACCGTAACTGGCTTGCCATGGGAGGCAGAAACGACCAGACCTACCGAAGTCATCAGGATCTCAGCCATTATCGCCGAGGACAGGGCCGGAATCTCATCGCCGCCAGAGGCCACTGGACACCCCGAGCTACGGCAGCGAGGCTATGACTATGTTCCGCGGGGCTAGCGAACTTACGACCAGGATGTCAAAGTGTTGCGCTTAGTCCGCGATTGGAACTTTTAATTTACGCCGTCCTTCCGAGTATTATCGTTTCTCAATGGAAGGCTCCGGCATCTACCGAATATTGTCGAAGTCCGTCTCGTAGGGGTAAGGCGATTGAGCCACAGATGTCACTTTAGTATTATATCGTGTGTCTTATTCAGGAATAGTCCAACGGCATGACTTTTGTAACGGCGTAGTAATACGAGTATTGTAAATCCTCCCGAGGATCTAATTGGCTATCTAAGGGCACTACTTTCGACTGTTAGTGGGGACTCGAGTCCCTGCCCTGCAGTGAACTTTACGTGTAGAACATTCTTGTCTGAGTTACCACCGTGGTCGGGTGCGAATTTTGTATCGTCAGTAGTTTCAATTATACCGGTAAGAATCTTGTAACGAGTCACGAAGTCTTTTCCATATAGCTATCTTTCCTATCGTTTTCGTGTTCGCGTTTTCCCCAAGACCTTCGCCTATGGATGATTTCAATATCGCTAACGTGGAAAAGATTCCGTGTATCGCCTATATTTCTTTAGTGAACTATTATTTATTGATTTTGTAATATTCTCTTAGCGCAAAAGTCTCGTGACCCTGGAGACCTAACAGAAAGAATCCGCGAGATCTCGCTTCACGAGGACGCGTGTAGTGTATCGTGTTTGTCTCGCTTCCCGAGACTTCACGTAGCCTCGCGTGTGTCCCGCTTCACGGGAGTTCACGTATCGTATACGAAAGTTTTGCAAAAGAATTACTTTAGGTTTTGTTGGATTTGCCCAAATTGTTATCAATTACCTTTATTTGACTTGTTTCGGAATTATTATTTGTTAATTGTTGAAATTCTCAATCGTCCTGAATAAAAGGACACTTGTTATTGTTTTCTATTCCGAGGTTCTCATTCTCCTAATCAATTCCCTTACCAACACCTCGGTGATCCCTGCCCCTCTACCATCTCACGAATTATCTGTGCTGGTCGGTGGCACTTTCTCCGTCCCTTCTGGAATTATTTTGTAGATTTCGTATAGTGACGCAAAGGTGCGTCTGGCGCCCAATTGGTCTTTTTCGGTAACGTATTCCAGGGGGATAGGGGTTTATAATTTGTCGACGGAAAATCAGCTGTTTTGCTACGAACGGCTCGGGTAGTCCAATTTGGTTATAATTGGAGAAGAAATTTTCGTCACAATACATGCATCTAAAGTTTGACAAACTTTTCACATAAAAACATTAGGTAAATATTTTGATTTGTATTTGAAAACGGATGTTTTACTTTTGGCTGATATCTTTGAAAATTTCAGACATAATTGCTCCTCTATATACAATTTAGATCCTCTTCATTATTATACTGCACCAGGCCTTGCTTTTGATGCTATGCTCAAGTGTACTTGAGTTGTTAACCGACGTAGAGATGTTGCTATTCATTGAGAGAGGAATTCGAGGTGGCGTAGCTCAATGCTCAAACAGATATGCCAAAGCGAACAACAGATTTATGGGTGCAGAGTTCGATCCAAGCGAAGAAGAATCGTATCATATGTACTACGATGTAAATAACTTATACGGTGCAGCTATGAGCCAATTTTTGCCATTCGATTCCTTCGAGTGGGAGGAAAATTTTGAAAAACTAAATATTTGCAATATTCCCGATGGTTCTCTTACAGGCTATATACTCGAAGTTGATATAGAATTTCCAATTATACTTCAAAAACTCCATAGAGATTTACCACTATGTCCAGACCAATATACTCCGCCAGAGTCTAACAAATCAAAATTGATAACAAAATTTCTCCCAAAAGAAAGATACATAGTTCATTATCGAAATTTGAAACAGTGTTTGAGATTAGGTATGAAGTTAACAAAAATTCACCGTGTTCTAAAATTTAGGCAGTCGCCATGGTTCAAGAAGTACATAGATTTAAACATTGAAATGAGAAAAAAGTCGAATAATGATTTTGGAAAGAACTTCTTTAAACCTATGAATAATTCAGTTTTTGGCAATACAATGGAAAATGTAAGAAAACAAAAAGATGTTAGACTCATTACGAAATGGGATGGAAGGTATGAAGCAAAGGCTCTTATAGCGAAACCAAATTTCCATAGCTGCACTGTCTTCGACGAAGATATGGTAATAATCGAGTTAAGTCGTGTCAAGATTAAATTTAATAAGCCAATATATGCAGGATTTTCTATTCTCGATCTCTCCAAAATATATATTTATGACTTCCATTATAATTACATAAAGAATACATTTGGTAACCAAGCTAAATTAATGAATACTGACACTGACAGTCTTCTTTGTGATTTTACCGTTCCGAACATACATATATGATTATATCAAATGTCATCTAGATAAATTCGATACTTCAGATTATCCCCCAAATAATGTTTACGGTATACCACTAGCAAATAAAAAAGTATTGGGTTTGATGAAGGTGTTACGTATATCGACCTTCACTTCGAAACAGAATAATGACGTAGCCGACAGGAAGTATAATTGCAGACTCAGCACGTTACCCAGTGCACTGCCTGTGCCACCTACCCAGCTGGTTAGCCGAGTGCATTTCTAACGTCCTAACCGTACCTAGAGCATCAGCAAAAATCGACTATATGTATAAGCAGCCAAAATCATGGCACTGACGCTCAGAAAATCATTCAGTTTCACGCGTAAAAGATCGGACTGCACGTTGTCACTCGTGGCTCTAACCGTTAGAGTATTAGATTCAGTGTAATATTTGCAATCTGGCCTAGGTACGGATTCGTTATTACATACCCTAGGGAACAAGCTCGATCGGTTACCGGGCAAAATTGAGCTGCATAGACTAGTCTTTCCAAGTAACGCATATACTAGACAATTTTCTGTTTCACCAATTTTCTTTTGCCTTAACTTCACACACACAGTCAGGTTTTGTAATCCGATTTTCACAATATTTTTTTATCCCAGTATTTGTCATAATCGAAACACTGTACACGACAATTAATTGAAAACTTCTAAATTGTTTGTAACAATATATCGCAAATTCACATTTTACTCGCGTTTTAAATATCTATTACCCATCCTCCAACATTTCAGAGAATATCTATCCACGTTGGAATAGCAAGACGTGTTTCAACACCTTAAACGAGCAGCGAACCCACCATTGAGTGCATTCTTACCGCTCGGCATTCACTCAAATATTATTCACGTTACCTCCGGTCGTTTCTTTTCTTTTGGTTACTTCTAAATTTTTGTTATCAAATTTAAAGGCCTCGCTAGCCACTACGGCCTACGTAACAAAGGATGAAAACAATGGAAAAATTATGGCTGAATTTATAGGATTACGAGCAAAATTGTATTCTTTCAGAGTGTTAGGAGGAAGTAAAGCTAAAAAGCGAGCTTAGGGGGTAAAAGGATCCACAATAAAGACAATCACATTTAACGATTATAGGCAATGTCTTTTATTCGATACAAATTTAGTTAAAACTCAAAATTTAATTCAGAGTAAAAAATATAAAGTTCATACCGTACAACAACAAAAAATAGCACTGAGCTGGAATGACGACAAAAGGGTCATTCTTCCTGGTACGACCGACACCCTTCCGTGGGGTTATAGAATGTAACATGTATATATTGTGACGTATTTTTATGCGATCGACCTCACCGGAAAATGCAAGACCGACCGGCGCACAACTTTACGCGATTCCTACGCGTTCCAGGCAACCCAGTGGCTAACAAATTTCACTCTCGAAATACCTAAGGTATTGTTGGGCGCCAGGTTCCAAAACGGGAACCACGTATCAAGAGACTCGGTCGAGTCTCGCGCCAAGTACAGGCAACCGGCTGTACAGGGCGCAGCGCGCCGAGACTCTTTACTCGAGTCAACTCCTTATACCTGTGTTTGGAACAAAATATCTTATGAACCGCTATATATGAGGAAAAGTTATTGATACATTCACTATAGGAATTGAAGGTTCTGAAGCGATTGCCACCAAGTTCAATACGATTAGTGTACGAGATCAGGGCGTATTGAAATGGCGAGCGAGATGATTTTATTTCAGTTCCGTCGTCGTCGTC